GCAGGGACTCCACGGAGCCGATTGCTCTAGTAGTAAGAACAAGTCTCTGTGTATTCTAAGATACCCTGGGTGTGTGGAGAGCCCAATATACTGGGGTTAATCTGCTTCACTGCGATTTGATGCTAACCTTTCTCCCCAGAGCGAGTGTGCACTCACCAACGGGGCACCGTCACACAGCGACCCCCTTCTCCGCCATTTCTCCATCCTGTCGGGATATGGGGCGTGTACAAGCACCCCGTGCGCTTTTCAAGCCACTGGGCAGATTTCAGACTGCACAGTTAGCCATATGGGCTCTGGCTCCCTTGATCATGAGGCCACAAGCCTGCCCTTAATTTTAGCCTTTTGCTTACAAAAGGTGAAGAGAGAGGAGAGCAGGCTTGTAAAACCAGGTCTCCCAATCTGTAGAAAAGACAGGTCAGGGCCATCATTGGCGTAATGGCTATGTCGCTGGACTCCCATATAGTCAAATGCAGTTCAAGTCCTGGAGCCGGTGGCTTAAACTCAAGCAAGGTGCATGTGCATGCGTGCCCAAGATCCCGAGAGAAGAATGGAGGAGAAGGGATTGCGGCGTGGCCATCCCCCCTGGGGGATGATTTCTCACTTTCTGTCTCTCTGTCTCTCTGTCTTTCTGGCGAGCACACGCGCCTTATAGAAAAAAACTCTCAAAAAAAAAAAAAAGATCAGATTAGAGGGGGGTGGTCATTATTAGGTATTCAAAATATTAAAACAGAAGACTGACAAGCACCAATCAAAGATGCTTCAAGGGGAAAGAAGCCAGACTTTAAGATTACCTGGTAGGATGTTTTCTGGAAAAGAGGTCGTTAGTACAGCTTGGCCACAAAGCGGCTCTGGCTCTGGTGTGCTGTGCGGAGGTGTGGGTGTGGTCACTTCCTGGAGTAAATGTCCACTAGACTAGGGCCCTTCCTAGGCTGTAGAGGTTTACTAAATTCCTTGAATCCTTCTACACCATAAACCAACCAACCAACTAATAAATATATAAATAAAATAAAAAGATCATAAACCTTCACTTAAAATTTGTTTTAGACATTCTTATACTTGAGATTATAGCATCTATTTTCAGCAGATAAAGCCTTCCATTCCATTCTGCCTCATAATCAAAATCCGAACGGTTCTGAAGGCAATGCGGATTGATTGTCTTACTTCTAACTTGCTGTGTTAGCTGGAGTAAATTATTTAACTTGCTTGTGCTTTTTCTGGAGGCGAGGTAACATTAGTCTGCCTCTCGAGGGTTTCTGGGACACTTAAGCATAAAAATCATGCTGGATCACATTCTCCAAAGTTACTAATGGCTGAGTCTGTCCCCCTCTGCTTTGATGGCAGTGGGCTGTGGGATTTTAATCACTCATGTATCTCCCGTGATTCTGAGTGATTGTAGGATGTGCTGTCAATGTAATGAGAAATCTTCGAGGTAACGGGAGGGGAGAGGTCTGTGTCACTCGTCGTATACATCTTCATTTTGGTGACATTGGGTGTGAAAATATGGGGGCCGGGCAGTGAGACAGCAGACAAAGGTGATGCTCTGGGAGGCGGGCCCACGTGGAAGTCCCCAGCTCGTGTCTGGAGGCCGCCCTGTCACGCCAGCCGTGGGCGTGTCCATGGTCTGAGTTGGCGAAAGCTGGGTGAGTCGCAGCGTTGAGTCTCTGTCACAATGCAAGTAGTGTCACTGCCTCACCTGCCTCACGGCCTGGCCTTCTCGAATACACCAATGACTTGGAAAAACAAACATGCCTCTCCATCTTGGGGTAACATTGCTTTACGAGAGTCATTTTTAAGTGGGCTTTGTCATCCTTAGAGCCAGAAGGAAATGTGAAGTTCAATGA